TACTGTCACTGGGCTCTGATGTCCTGGCTCCACAGGGGACAGAGGTGCCCGAAGGTAGCACTACCTTGGCTTGTGTTAAATTTAAGCGGTTTACACCTAGAAAGAGGAGCTGACTGAGACAATCAGACCCTGGCCTGGCATAAGGGCTGGAAGAAGCGAGTGGTGCTCTGCCTCCAAAATGGGGTCCCTGCTCCCCGTCCCCTTCACCCCTCCTTCCCACCATCTTCTCCCAGGATCTTTGGGTGGGAGCCAGCCCTGCGGAAGGACAGAGCCGTTTTCTTCCTTATGTCCCTGGGTGCTGTGGGAGCCGGGAGGGCTCAGGCAGGGGCTGCCTGCGGCAGGGGGGAGAGGGGCAGGCAGGGGGGGGAGCAGGAGAACAGGGGTTCAAAGGGGTTTGGGGATCCAGAGCACCCTGATGCTCAGTCAGGTCCACAAAGGAGGAAGGTGAAGAAGTAAGTACACATGCATTACTTTTTTATTCGGCATTGGCACTTCTTGGGCCAGGTGCAGTAAGGAGGAACCGGGATTGATCCAATTCTTACAGGGTCTGTGGGGTAAATTTGCTTTGATGCTCCTCTGCCCCAGACAAGGTGAGGTGCAGCTTGTGCGTGTGTCCCCCCCTCCACGGCCATGCCCGCAGAGGGTGGGTTGGGGGCTGCAGCGAGGAGCAGGGGCAACATCGGGACTGGGGCTGGCGGGAGAACTGCTGGATCTGCTGCAGGCCAGGGAGCTTGAGGAGCACAAGCAGAGGGGACACGGGCACTGGAGCCGAGATGGACCTCCAGGCTGGCTCCGGTGGCTCTGCGGGCTGCCTCCGCTCCGCTGCGGGATGTGCTCTAACCTGCCGGGGGATCCTCTGGACCTGCTGTGGGATGTCCCCAACCTGCTGCGGGATGTCCCCCAGCCAGCCCTGGGATCACCCTCTAGACCTGCTGAGGGATGTCCCCAACATCCTGAGGGATGTCTCCCCCCAGACCTGCTGAGAGCTGTCACCCCCCCCACCCCCAGACCTCCTGTGGGCTGTCACCCCCCCACACCCCCAAACCTGCTGTGGGCTGTCACCCCCCCCAGACCTCCTGTGGGCTGTCACCCCCCCACACCCCCAAACCTGCTGTGGGCTGTCACCCCCCACACCCCCAGACCTCCT